TACCGCGTGAGCTTTGCCCTCATCGACACACACGTCCTGGTCTTATTCCGCCTGTGTTACCGTAGCCTAGCCTACTCCTCCTGATCACACCGTCACCATACCCTCGGAATGCAAATTGGACGTGCTACAACAGTGCGAGCTTGTGGTCGTTTAGCTGAGAAGCTAAGTGGCTGAATGACTGCCGACCTGGTAAAAAGTATTTTAAACATGTTGTTACCAACACTAAAATCACACGATTTTCAACGGACGTCTGAAAAAACTCTTCTGTTTTTAGCGCCAGACTTTTTCTACTTATAGTCTCCCGTAGGCATACTCTACACCTCGCGGTACTCGGCGTTAACCTACTTATGTAGCTGCATGAAAGGATACTGACACGTAACCGCACCGTCCTTTGACAAACAACCTCCCTTCACTCACCTGGCACTGCTCCTTTCTTGCGGATCGTCCTTTCTGCAACCTCGGCCCCATCCCATCATCAGCGTCTCGTTCGTTATCTTCTCGTCTTGAGTACTGAACGCCCCTCCCCTTTGAACACTCGTTGTCGCAGTTTGTTGACGACTACTTTACCCATTATGCTGGTCCGATAGTCTAGTGGCTGCCTCCCCAGCAATTAATATCTGTCTAATCTTTTTGTTGATGCCAACATGCATGACTCCCTTTAAGCTTTCTCCCGAGGCTGTTGGTCTTTCACGCGGGCCCTACTCTTCCCCAGACAAGCTTAGACTCATGTTATCGACAAGGTCAATACACCAGTGACCAATGTCAGCATACGAAATTCTCCGCCATTCGTTACGGTCAGAAAGCTTACTCGTTACTGTATCAGCCCGTAATGGATGAATATAGAAATGGAATGTCCTTTTGCTGTTGACTTTGCTGTGGAATCATCTTGGAATAAAGCGAGTGGAAGCCTTACATCCAGAACGTGTCGTGCTCAGTTCCTATATAATCGAATTCCCAACCGTGGTCAAGTAACTCAGTGGCCTTGGTCTTCCTTGGAATAATGCCAGTTCGGACTTTTTTCTCTCTCGCTTCAACTCTGCATACAAGAGGACGACACGGCGACGAAATGTAAATTAAAACAACCGAGTCCGTATCTGTTTAGCTATCAGCAAATTTGCGCATCTGCATGCCCGCAATGTGCATATCTTTTGAGTGGATATTTGGCATGTAGCAGCTTAACACGTCAGATAAACGGCCACAATCTCGTTCACCAAATACAACTCCTTGCACTTCCAAAGTCGAGTGCTAGGACACGAAAAAAACAACATTCTTTGCGCAGAACTACGCGCTAGATCCGATAAGGCATCTGGCCGTATGAGAAGAGCTTGCATCAATGGCTGTGGTGGCCTGGGAAAAGGTTAGTACTAAGGACGAAAAGGATATGCTGAACGAGACTCTATGCCGACCTGGAGTCCATGTTGGCGCGTCCGGGACCACAGCACAGAGGTCTTGATATCCGTTCTTTCAGCACACCTCGTCGTGCAATATCTCTCCTGACGTCGAAAGGAGCCCTAATCCACGGGGTACTGGCAAAAAGCGCCAGGTCCTGTTTCGCGAAAAATAGTGGCTCCCCACCAAGGAATTCAGCCGCTCAACAGGGTGAAGGAAACGAATGGAACGAGGGAGGAAGAAGTTGATGTTGAACTTGAAGCAAGCGCCGCACGCCGCATGTCTTGGTCCCGGTTTGTAGTACGTCCAAGATGCGTACCTCCTTGTCCAGCGGCGGGCTACTCAGACAAGTCGGTGCTTCGGCGAGGGACTGCTCACGTCTTCGCTATCCGCGCCTCATTGCTTCCGAGTTTGACCCTCTGCAGTAGTCGCTCTCGGAGTAACATCATCTTTTGTTCAACATTGGGCAATCCAATCGCGCGCGGCTGGGTTGTACTGTATGTCTGCACGAACGTCAAAACTGCGCCATCCCAGCGCGTTCATGTGGAGAAGTGGCGCGGACACAATGGAAGAGAATGCTCAAGTATAGCAGAAGAGAGATGTATGTGCACGAGTATACCGTACATGGGTCAAAGTCCTACGGCGGCTCCCACCACCTCGTCAGAAGTATTGGACGCGTCCTGGAATTAGGCATGAGCATAGCCGCTAAGGGCTGAAAGATCACGTACCCTGTGGCAACACCAACACTTCATGCTGCATCTCAAAGGTATCATGACGGGAAAGGGTTACATCGTCGTGCGGTCGTGAGCGCATAGGTCGCGTCCTCAGTGCATTGGGTCGGCTCGTTGCGTCGTGTGTACCGCGCCTGGCAGGGACCCGTCGTCGTTGTCGTTCCACCGCGCGCCGCTCCAAGTGTGCTCCCTAATGCGTGTTGACCCTCGTCTGTTTCTCGATCGTTATCGTTCAGAAAAGAACCATGTTTCCAGCGGTCGGATTTTTATGTTGAATTGCTCGCCAGCACAGAGAGCAGCATGTTGCGGACGGATGATGAGGGGAAGACGTCGACTTCGGAGTTTAAAATCGTACTTTGATGCAATTGCGCACGGACCGACGGCGCCCTCTTGACTCTAGCTAGTCATAACGCGCACGCTTCTCATAGCCTCGCCTCCAGCGCGTACGTCGCACTTGTTCCTCTCACCAAAGGGATGGCGGCTAGTTCGACGGAGTGCTCAAGGATTCGGTACGGCGGGGGAACTACCTATGGGCACTTGGCGGCGGGATGAGCAACACCGGCTTATTGGAGTACTTGGGCGACGAGCCGGCTGCTGAACGACGGGATTCGGACCTGTCTTTGGAGCGCGCATCGTGAGCTTTTCGGTTTTAGACCTACTACACTAGGATATTCAGCGTGCGCAACGTCGACTTCTTCCCCCTACATCCTTCTTCCTATCACCGCTTCTCTGAACTTGAAATGCTCGTCTCTTATTCTCCTCCTGATTACTACTTATGATGCAGGTCGGATAGCACAGCGGCTACTCTACCTAGCAGTACGAATTGATGTCGGCCCAGATAATCCCATATCAACATTCATGCTCACGGTCGGATGGCGTAGCCGTTATCACCGTTCTGCTAAACCAATGAGAGGCAATTTTTGCAATCACGCGACGGGTCTCCTTAGTCAAACTGCCTTGTTCGTACTCGCTTGTATGCCCAGATAGCTCATCGTGTCTGGCCATTGTGTGGTTGTCGAGAAATCTTTTTTGCTGCTTTTTACGCCTCGCAACCGACTGAGAATACGTGCAATCCCCCTTGGACAAGTCCTCGCGGCTGGCTATTCCTCACCCCGACGACGTGTCCATCTTCTTCCTTTCCTGTCCTTCGCTACGGATACAACTACATCTTCGCCGTCTTCCTCCTCCGAGTCAACCGGCTCCTCAGGCTAACAACATCACCACCTCGCCACCTCGCCTCGCCCTTACTGACACTCACCTCAGTGGATACTGGTCAGACGAGTGACAGGAGGAAGTCGCTTGTAGAAGAGGACCTCAAAGGAGGAAGAGGATGCCGCATCGCATGGTCGGGATATAGAAAGAGCTAGGTGGCCGTACCCCCGGCGTCCCCGCGTCTACTCTTCAAAGCTTGCCTGCCTGTCGGGTGCACGGTTTTATCTTCACACGCGCTCCTCACCGATACCTCCGCACGCATCCCTCATTAACGAGATGCCTCATCGAGTTTGGCTATCATGTCCTATCATGTCATGGTGCGGAGGTAAATTTTTCCCCCACACCCTCAGAATGCAAAGTGGATGTGGCTGAAGCAGGATTTGCAGTACGAGCCTGTGGACGCCTAGCTGAGAAGCTAAGGAGCTGAACGTGAATGGAGTTCATTGTATATTTTTTCGTGATACGGAGCGTCCGTGAATGGGGCGCAGACTTGGTTTCCGAGCTGCATCAAAGGATACTATTACTATCCACCATCGGCACTTCCTCTTGAACCTGCTTCTTCAACGTATCCGTACGTTTTTTGCGCCATTCAATCCCCGCTATCCACACCATCCTGTACAGGCGACCTACTATAATGTCTGCACCTCTTCCGTGACACCGGTCTCTTCATCCTCAGCGCCGTCTCGTCAGCCTCACCTCATACTGTCTTCTTACCCTCGCGTTGACTCACTCGTCGTCCCACTTTCACGACTACTACACGCCCCCAACTGTGGGTCACATAGCGTAACAGCTATTCCCTCCTGACATGGATGTGCACTGATCATGATCCAGATAATTTTTTTCGTGGCTGCCGACATGCATAGCTTCTTTTGAGCTTTTTACCAGTGTTCGCCTTTCATGATGGCCTGAGTCTTGCCCGGAGATGGGACGAGGTCAATATACCCGTGACAAAGGTCAGCATATCTGATTCATCGCGGTCGGATAGCTCACTTATTAGACCGTGATGGGAGGGTACTGTAGTGGATTCGTTTTTATCGATGATGTCTTTCGTTCGGGAACCCAAGTCGCTCAACGCTTTAGCAACTTTCGATTGTGTTGTGTCAATTCAGACGATGTATATACACTCCCAACCGTGGTCACGTAGTTCAGCCGGCTCGGACTTCAATTTATGTGTCACTTCATGCATCCTGCATTCGACTCTCTTTTTTCCTGGGTATGGGCCAGAGTTGATACACTATGCATTGGTTTTTGCCAACTATGACGCGGAAAGAACAAGGAAAGAAGAGCAAGAAGTTGAACACCACTGTGACATGCAGCAAGGCAGTCGATCATGAAGAGCAGAGAAACCAACCGCAAAAATTGGCTTGACAAGAGCTAAGATGACCACATAACATCTGAGCTACGCGGCCACACTCCTTGACCATCGAGGATATCCAAGCTCGGATTCTGAGGGGATACTTTGGTAAAATTACTATTCAGCCACTCAATGTCAATGATGTTCGCAGTGCGAGAGGAAGAGACACACGGAAAGCCAGTACCGAAGCACTGAAGCAACTTGATGTGTTTCTCATGTCAGTCTCCGTGAGACAGAGTGCTGAGCGCTCAATGGATTGAGAAATCGACAGGCGAACATTACACAAAAAGTGGGAACAAGACGCTGCTGACCAGCTCTCTGGCTGGGAGTCGAACCCAGCTTTCGCGCGCAATGGTTTAAACAGATGAGGACGATTCGCATGACAGGCGCGTGTACTAACCGATATACAACCAGAGATGCGTGCTAATATTGCCAAGCTGATACTCAGATGCAAGGTTGCGTTGGAACCCATGGTAATATCAATTAAGCTTTGTAGATTGCGCTCTGTCTTGGGATTCCGGTATCCCGGTGTAGGGTGGGGGCGCAGTGAGGGGACGTGGAAGACGGGAGGGTGATACTACGTCACCTTGAGTTACAGACTCGCCACGTACAATACTAAACGCATTTCTCATGCCGGGAAAAGGGATTCCGGACTGGGAGGAAGTGTAGATGACGCAAGCCGACAAGTGTATTCATGCGCAACTGAACATGTACCATCGAGTAAACAACCTTAGGAACTCGTCGTACTCGGATGTATGTAAAGTGGACTAGGAAGCAATTGAGTAAGGCCTGAGAAAAATAATAACACGCTTACCTGCGCCCTCCCAATTCACAGTGGATAGTTCTGATGATTGGGAAGGGCTATTACAATTGTCATAGTGCTGTTGTTCGCGCATCACTTGGCATCGTTCTCGCCGTCGAGCCACTGTCGTTCTTACCTAGTAGCGTCCTCAACGCGCGGGGTCAGTCCATTCATGACGGCCACTTGTCCTCGTTTGTCCCATCTGAATGCGGTTGGCCTCCTCCTATATCACGAGGTACTGTTGCAGGGAATAGTGGGATGCTTGAAGGAAGGAAAGTGGGGAAGGAGGTCCTGTCAGCAGAATCGCTGAAAGAGATCAATGTGCATATGTACCTAATTTCCTCCGAGCTTCGACATTGTTGACCATAATGATCCACTCCAAGGAAAGAAAGCAACATCCACAACACATCCTCATCTACTCTGCGCATCCTCCTCGGCCTAAAGCAATATCATCTTCGGCAAGCCGAAGTGCTCGTAAAGACCATCGGGAAACTAACTCCGACTGCAAAAATTGTACGGCTCTGATTCGCCTCGTAACGCTGTACGAACTACGCGGTCACAATCCTCCATCATATAGGCCGTCCAAACTCGCGTTCTGAGGAGATGACTCGGTGAAAACAAATGAAGCGAATGTGTAGGCGGAGAGGAGCGCGCGCCGCAGCAGCTCAACGTGTTAGCCATGTCCTACGGGGGACGTTCTTCTCCGGGACAAGGAGTGAGTGAGGGCTGCCTGAGTATTCGAGGTCGATCATCATAGTAAACGGCAGGAAGGGATGAAGAGAGCAGCCCCCATTCCCGTTTAGGCTTGAAGCTTGAAGGGAGATCCGGCACATTCAAGGATATGCCAGGTTCAGAACGGGCAGGGATGTCCATCTAACACAAGGTAAAATGGGGAGGAGACATAACGCGGGTGACATGATATCCGATTATATTCCGAGCACAACTAGAGCGTACGTGTGCTGTAGAGTATTAAAGTCCTATGTCGGCACCCACTACGTATTGGACGCGTGCTGGAATTAGGCATGAGCATAGCCGCCGAGGGCTGAAAGATCACGTACCCCTGTGGTAACACCAACAATCCATGCTTCATCTCGAAGGTATCATGACGGTAAAGGTTTACATCGTCGTGCGGCCGTGAGCGCATAGGTGAGTAGCATTATGGTCCTTGATTAGCGTCCTCAGTACGTCGGCACGTCGTGTTGTGTTACCGCGCCTAAACAGGGACCCGTCGGCGTCGTTCCATTCCGCGCCGCTCCAAGTACGCTCCCTGATGCGTGTCGGTCGTCGTCCATCCTGCTTCTCGATCGTTCAGAAAGGAACCATGTGTTCGGCAGTCGGATTTTTATGTTGAATTGTTCGCCAGCACGGAGAGCAACAGGTTGTGGACGGAAGACGAGAGCCAAATCGACTTCGGAGTTTGAAATCGTACTTTGATGCAATCGCGCACGGACCTTGACGGACCACTTCTTCCGCCACACGCCGTCTTGACTCTCTAGTCATAGTGCGCACGCTTCTCGTAGCCTCTACTCCAGCGCGTACGTCGCACTTCTTCCTCTCACTAAACACCGGGATGGCGGCTAGTTCGACGGAGTGCTCAAGGATTTGGTACGGCGGGGGACTACCTATGGGCACTTGGCGGCGGGATGACCAACTCAGATTGGAGTACTTACTTGGGCGACGAATCGGCTGCTGAACGACGTGATTCGGACCTGTCTTTTGAGCGTGCACCATGAAATCTTTTGGTTTTAGGCATGCTACATTCCGGACTAGGATATTCAGTGTGCGCAACATCAACTTCTTCCTCCCCCTACATCCTCCTTCCTATCACCGCTTCTCTGGCCTTGAAATGATCGTCTCTTATTCTCCTCCCGATTACCTATGATGCAGGTCGGATAGCACAGCGGCCACTCTGCCTAGCAGTAAATACAACTCGGATGTGTTGTCATTTTTGTTTCCAATGCATATCTCGAATACAGAACCCTCACAGTACGTCTTCTCTTCGTTCAACCTGGGTTTGAGGTTGAGACCGACACATGGTGGCATCATTGTTCATGCAAGTCCCCGCCCAGATAATCCCATATCAACATTCATGCTCACGGTCGGATGGCGTAGCCGTTACCACCGTCCTTATTGATCCGCCGGATCTCAAATTTTGCGATTACGCGACCGGTCTACTTGAGTCAAACTGCCTGGTTCGTACTCGCTTGTATGCCCAGATAGCTCATCGTGTCTGGCCATTGTGCGGTTGTCGAGACATCTTTTTTGCTGCTTTTTACTCCTCGCAACCGACTGAGAATACGTGCAATCCCCTTGGACAAGTCCTCGCGGCTCGCTATTCCTCACCCCGACGACGTGTCCGTCTTCTTCCTTTCCTGTCCTTCGCTACGGATCCAACTTCGTCTTCGCCGTCTTCCTCCTCCGGCTCCTCGGGCTAACAACATCACCACCTCGCCACCTCGCCTCACCCTTACTGACACTCACCTTAGTGGTTACAGGTCAGCGAGGAGGACGTCTTCCGGAGGAGCATGCCGAGGAAGTCGCTTCTAGAAGAGCAGCCCAAAGGAGGAAGAGGATGCCGCATCGCATGGTCGGAATATAGCAAGAGCTACGGGTGCGTGGTGGCCGTACCCCGAGGCCCGGGCGTCTCTCCCCGCGTCTACTCTTCAAAGCTTGCCTGTCTATCGCGTGCACGGTTTTATCTTCAGAAGCGCTCCTCACCGATACCTCCGGACGCATCCCTCATTGCCGCACGCGTCCTCGTCTCTCTATCTCTCTCATCCCTTGCTCGTCTGTGTCGCCCTCGCTTACTCATGCCGTCGTTGGTAAATTATTTATGCGCACGCTGGCACAATCCAAGCTATGGCCAGATGCCTCATCGAGTTTGGCTATCAATTCATGTTTAGAACGTCACTTTTGTTTTTCCCCACACCCTCAGAATGCAATTAGACGTTACGAACAGGATTTGCAGTACGAGACTGCTGAGAAGCTAAGGACCTGAACTTTCCAAGGATTATCATAGTTTTTCGTAAGACGAAACTTGATGCGCTTGTGACAACGTCCGTAGATGGGGCGCAGACTTGGTGATATCGGATGCCGCAGCTGCGAGGCTCATTCCGAGCTGCATCAAAGGATACAAGATTCGCATTTCCACGACTGCCTATCCACCGTCGGCATCTCGGAACTTCTTCTTCAATTTGCTTCTTCAACGTATCCGTGCGCGAATCCTCGTCGTTTTCTGCACCATTCAATCCCTACCATCCCGTACCGGTCTTTCTGCTTCTCTTGGATTGTCTCGTCGTCATCCTTAACACCGCCTCATCAGCCTAACCTCGTACGTCATCTTTTCACTTCATACTGTCTTCTTACCCTCAGGTTGAGTCGTTCATCGTACCAACTGCTTCATTCCACATCGTGCGGGGCACACAGCGCAGCGGTTATTGCCTCCCGCAATGCTAAGGAACCACTGAATTTTTTTGACACGCCTAGTTGCCTGTGCGCTTTCTACCAGTGTGTCTGTCGTTCACGCGGCCGGATAGGACGCATTGTCAAGGTCAATCTACCAGTGACAAAGGTCAGCATATCTGATTCTCTACCATTCATCATGGGTTGGATAGCAATACACATGGAAGCGCCTTTCGTCCTCGTTTCGCATGTCAAGAATCAACATGCTTGGTCGACTAACAACTCTCCGGTAGCCTATTGGCTAGCACACGCGCCTGCCAGCGTGGAGCCTGGGCTCGACTCTCAGCCGGAGATTGTGAATTCTATTCCTACTGCGTCCTACTTTTGTCTTGCTTTGCTTTGCGTCAGTTCCTGCTTGTACCAACTTTGATTTTCTCATTCCCCTGTTTCTCGTTTGAATGATACGCTGCTTTACCCACTATCTCCTTCGGTGTCCGCAGCCTGGCCCAAATCCTCGTTGGCCGCCGAGTCCACCAGCAAGATCCCTCTCTCATTCGACACCCGACTCGTCCATTCATTCCCTTCAGATCGATTCCTTGTTCCACACTCACCCTACCCTCCTCTGTGTCCTGTTCTTCCTTCACCATACAGTCAACACGCAGCGACTGGTGCTATCGCACTTCCTCTTCATAGTTGTCTACTGTCTGACTCTCCGTGCAAGTGGGATAGCTCAACGGCTCTCATTCAGCGTATCATCGAGATTGGTCTGTTTTTTCAAATGTTTACACCTGAGCATCCTCAATCTTTCAAGCAGTTCATCCATCGGGCATGCTCCCGTTCATCGCATGGTATGTTTGATACTACCATCTCAGTCCGATGGCGTTAACTTCTGCTAGATGCTGCTTTTTGGTTCTCAGCTACCAATGCTGTCGCGTATCATAAGTACTCTTGTACTGCCTTGTTAAGACACCATCGACCGTGGTCGTGTATCTCAACGGTCTTGACCTGAATGGCGGTGTCTCTTGATTTAGCTCACTATCTTTTTTTTGTGTTCTTCAAGTCCAAGTTTCTGTGGTATTGTTTCCTTTCCTCTGCATACAACACCCCCCCCCCCCCCCGAGGCATCCTCTCACTTGCAGCATAGCTTGAATGGGTTCAGACATTCAACTTGAGCAAAAATTCACAGAGATGTTGAACTTCGTAAGTCGGTCTCCATCACTGCAGGTGAGCTATACGCAGCCACAACGGACTTGAACCAGGTTGAAGATGTAATTCTGAGAGGATCAGACTGTGTGGACAAGGCCGTGATGACGGCGACGTGTATTGAACATGTCAACAGGTTTGTTTCGAGCGTACTTGGCATTCAGCCATCTACCGTGCCACAATGGCATCCTACTCAAAGTATAACTGAAGGAAAAAGAACAACTAGCGGCGACATTGGACACTTCGGCGGACAACGGCTACACCGTCCGACCGTGGACGTGGACATTAACTTGGGCTTCTAGCTGAGATTGTCCCGGACGGTGAGTACTTAGCACATTGCTCTTCCTCAGCAATGGTAAGTGATTACCAGAAAAGACTTCTAAAATTCCTTTAGCAACTAGGCCGAAACCGAAAAAGAATGAAAAAAATGAATGGCTCACTCATTATCCAAACGGCGCATGACAGCTACACCATCCGACCGTGCAACCTGCACATCAAAATGGGCTTATGATAAGGAGGTGAGAGGAGGGCACAGGGCTACTAAGAACGAGGAAGACGTCAGAGCGTGAAGCCCGATCGAGGGCCGAGATTGAGGAAAGCGCGTATGTTGAAGAATGAAGACGTGGGCCACCGAGAACGATCCATGATGGAGGCCACCAAAGACGGACTACATCAAGCAGGTATGGAAGTCATCAGGGGAAAAAGAGTTCAAAGCGATCCGGCACGCTCGGTGTGATAGCTGCTGCACCATCAGACCTACATAGAGTGGGAGACAAACAGGCACCAAGTCTCGTATCAGGCAGTCAAGACGACGCTGAAATGCTCACGTACATCCTTTGGACAGTAGCACGTCCGAAGGGTGGATTCTGAGAGACGAATAAATAGTGGTGCCACAACGATATGGAGAGAGAAGAGTTGGCGGGAGATGGGTACTACTTGGCTGGTCCAAGTCCTGCGTTGGCTCCTGAAGTAACGCCACAATGAAGTGAACGCTGCCCAATCTCACATACAAGATACCGCCCGGAGCCTTGGAGCCTGAGACGACTCGGTCCAGTCGATATGTTTTCGCGAACTCGCGTTTAACCTGGCTACCAGAGGAAGCATATGAGAATGTCCTGCCAAACTCTCGTGAACGCGAGGAGAGAAAGTCGCGACATGATGTAAGCGGTGGCCTCCTTCCTCAAACACTCATGTCAGTCATGTCGACACACACTAGGACTAAGAGATTATGGAGACTCGATAACCTCTCCTTGAACACCATGGGGTAAAGACATGAGTTGAAGACAGGTGGTTATGCGTTCAATCTCCGCCTCCGCATCACGCGCGCGCACTTCGGCTTCGCGCGCGCGCGCTTCGGCAGCTAAGCGTAACTTAGCCTCAGTCTCGGCGCGTGCCTCCGCTTGGAAGCGTAAGTGAGCCTCGGCCTCGGCCTGAGAGCGCAACTTAGCCTCGGTCTCGGCGCGTTCCACTGCTTCCCTTACTCTACGGGCTTCTTCTTCCGCACACAAAGCAGCCTGTAAGTTTGTTTTGAATATGCAGGAAAAAACAGTTAGAATGAAAACTTACTGCTTGTTGATCGGAGATCCTCTTGGACGTCGCAGCCTGCTCATCACGATAGGCGCTGAGAAGAAGATCGAGGTTTTTCTCAGGAGATACGTGGTTGATGATTTTGAAGAAGGCCAACACCTCTGCCCACTTCGCAATGCCTTGCTTGGCCCCAGGCAAGGGGAGGATAGGGGCCGCGAACAGATTGGAGGCTAAGACGAGGACGGTAAGAGCGAAATGGAAGCATGGTGATGCAAGTGCATCGTAGTTGGGTGTGAAGCGGCTCACGGTGACCAGAATGGTCGCGATATCGAGAAGACTAGGTGTTTTGTCGGGCGTGAAGGTGAGCGTCATGGCAGGGACGGCAGTGAGAGGTTTCCGGGAGAAGAAGTCGAGACCGTCAGGATGGCGCGCGTAGATCAAGCGGTCGTTGGCGCAGAGGCCATGAGACGGCGAGCAGTTCAGCTCGACGCTGGAACCGCTAGCCCGGTCGGCTTTGAACGTGGCCCTAGGACCGCCAAGCGGGCTTCCGTCGACGGTAAATGTAAGCCACTCATTCTCGGAATTTTTGTAGAGGAAAATGTCATGCACCGGAAGCGTCGCGGACTGCGGCATACGCTCTACGAGCTCTGCCCAGGCAGCGATATTCGTGAAGGATCGATCGTCGCTGGTATATAATGCGGGGTAGTTGGCAGTGACCATAGGACGAGGTCGAGTCAGAGGGTAAAGTAAAGCGCGTAGTCGGAAAGAGAGCGCAAAATTCGAGGAGAGACCGAAACGCTTGGGGGCCCCCATGGCTGACGGGAAGTAAAGTATTGGGGAGGTTAGACCGCATATACGATCCTAGAGACAGGTGTCTCATTCGCTGCGTTCTACTGGGGTGGTAGTGGATTCTAACGGCCCATAGACTGTTCCTTTCAACTTTCTACGATGGTCATGGTTATATGATGCTTAATAAACGTAGATGGAGTAGTATTTAGACCTGACGCCACACTCTCATTCGTGTGGCGCAGTCCTGACATTGTTCTACTCCAGTGATGTTTTCGTTGCCTTCCATATATACCGCTCTGTCAAATTAGAGCTGAGAAGAAACATGACCCTAGTCCATCCCCGATCCACCAACACCACCCACCTCGATGTAATAAGGAGACAGACGCCACATGCAGACAACGTCCACCGAAAGGCAAAAAAAAATAATGACAACAAAACAAACGCTAATAAAAATACACGCGGATGTATAAAGGACTCATAATGGAACTGGATGAAGGAACATATGTATAATCGAAGGGTCGAAAGAGTGTTAGTAACCCAAGCTAACACTGCGTGCTCTGGTGTACGAGCTACCCGATCTCGGATATGGCGGAGGCGAAGGCCGCGGAGAGGGCAGAGTACCTCCTGGTGTGCGTAGTAGCTGTGGGATCTCTAATGAGTGTAGCGGTTGATTCGGGGCGAGCGTAGGATGATTTTGGTTGAGGTTTACGTGGTTCGCGTTCTGAATAGCTGCCTCCCAGGCCGTCCGTAAAGGGCCTGTGTCTTTCCTAACGTTGGTTTCTATAATCATGTTCTCCATCTCCTGGGCCAGTCCCTCCATCACTGCCTCATCCACCTCGGTAATAGGCTGGAGACGTTTATGCTCCAAAGACGGCTGTATGGAATGCAGTTCGGTTTGTAGCAATATCGTCGCTTCACGGTTCGCGATTTGGGATAAAGTGGAGACCTTGTCTGGTGGCGGAGGAGGCGGGAGAAAGAGAGTGGGCGCGACGCGACTTATCGCCATGGAAAGGAAAAGGAAGAGTTGATGCAGGAAGAGGACGTGCTGGTATGCGACGCGCCGTGGAAACAGAGAGTTGAGCAAGGCCGTGCTCGTATCCGGCGACGAAGCCCACATGGACGTGTCAAAGGAAGAGGGAGTGGGAGCCAGCAGCACGGCGACTTCCATTGATAGGAATCCGACGAAAAGCAGATACCGCCAGAACGCCACTGGAGAAGGTCTGCCAATGGACGACAGGACGAAGAGCGTAATCAATGTAACGATATGATATCCCACTGAACGCAATAATCCATGGTGAAGGTACTCTCGCGGAGTGGATAGACGAGACCAGTGGAGAACGTCGGGTCCAAAGCGGTCGTATGCAAACCGGACAACGGGATCCTTGAGCGCTTCAAAGGCATCCCGGGCAAACATAAAAGCCTGCTCGCCATTAGCGCCCACTTTATCTGGATGGTATCGCTTGGCGAACGCTCTAAACGCCAGACGCAGCCCGCTTTCATCTACAGCCCGCTCGACACCCAACAGCTCATAAAAGTTTGCTTCGACGCCGCGTGCGCCTTGGACGAGGTTGTAGCCGAGGTATGCCAGGACCACAAAGGCGAATGTAAAGCGGTAGTGCTGGACATAGGTGGGTGTACGTGGTTGAGGCGGATTGGGTATGAGCATGGGCTGCGAGTGCAGGAAAGTGAGGAGATGGCGGGTGATCAGGTCAGGCAGGTAGGCCCAGCCGACCAAGGAGAAAAGGGTATTGATTGCCATCGTCTCCGTCGTTGACTATGACGGCGTAGTCATCGACCGCGACGGTGGCTGTAAGAGGTCAACTGGATGAGGTCAC